CGATTACTTTTATCGATTTTATCGATTTTTTTGCAAAGTTTGAGCTAGGGGGCTGGGAGTTGGCACAGGGATCATCCCCAAGGGGGGTGATCAGCATGCTCGATTACACCCCTGTGCCAAATTCCAGCCCCCTAGCTCAAATTTTCAAAAAATCGATAAAATCGATAAAAGTAATGGACAATCTTGAGAACTAATATTGTATTCGTAATCTGCATGCTCGATTACCCCCTGTGCAAACTCCCAGCCCCGCAGGTCAAACTTTACAAAAAAATCGATAAAATGGATGAAAGTAATGGACGATCCTGAAAACTAATATTGTGTTCGTAATCAGCATGCTCGATTACCCCCCTGTGCAAAATCCCAGCCTCGCATGTCAAAATTTACAAAAAATCGATAAAATCAACAAAAGTAATCGATAATTCTGAAAACTAATATTGTATTCGGAATCCCCATGCTCACTTCCCCCCCTGTGCCAACTCCTAGCCCTGTAGGTGAACTCTGCAAAGAAAACGAAAAAATCGGTAAAATCTACATCGATCGATAACGAAAAGTGGACTGTGACACCCGCCGGGGCCCGAAGTGTATGTGTGCCAAGTTTGGTCCGGATACGGCGGAGCCGGGTAAGCCAGCTAGTTATCTATATAATCTGCCGGATTTCGACGGATAACTCTAGTTTATACCACTCAGAATGCCTTGATATGGGCATTTTGAACTTTGAACTTCCTAATCGTATTCTGCACATCATGGCATTCGTAATTGCATTTTATAAGAAATGGCTTTACCACATCTTTATGCATAAGTTATTATTCGTTTCACTCTTGTTATTTATGGTATAGGGGAGTCATTGCGCTTAGATACGTCCGACCTTGTTTAAGAATATTGTAAGTTTTGTTAAAAGCGCTTGATGAGAGAGACACCGCTAGCGTCCGCAGCGAGCGCTATCTCTGCGTGCAATGAACCCTCTATTCTATTCCAATATGATGATCCCAAGAACTGAAAGTCTCAGCTTTGCTGGGGCGTTGTTTAGCATGTTGATAACGGATAAGATAATCATTCGCTGCGGTAGTCCCATATAGTCTGGTTACGGAGGGAGTATCGTGCATCCCCTAGAGTTGTTCCCATATGAACCACCAATGCCTGCCTTTCAATCGTTTTAAAACGTTAACTCCAGCAAATTTAAGGCGCTTGCTCGAAGTTGACATGTTGAAATGATCGAAAGACAGCCATGTTGATGGTTCACATGCGGACAATTCTGGGGGTGGACCATAGGTGTGGTCCAAAATCTCAGATACTGCTGTAACTTCTCATATGGTGGTTATCCGATGCTGATTACGATATCATGCCCTTTTAGCATTTGACTCCTCTTGGTGGAGTTTCGACAGTTGAGGAGAGATGCACTTTTATGGAGTTACTAGCTGGCTTACCCGGCTCCGCCGTATGTTCCGAATAGAAAATTCCATTTCTTAACCGATCCGGACCAAACTTGGCACACATACACTTCGGGCCCCGGCGGGTGCCACAGTCCACTTTTCGTTATCGATCGATGTCGATTTTCTCGATTTTTTGTAAAATTTGAGCTAGGGAGCTGGAATTTGGCAGGGGGGGGGGGTGTAATCGAGCATGCTGATCACCCCCACGGGGGTGATCAGCATGCTCGATTACCCCCCTGTGCCAACTCCCAGCCCTGTAGCTCAAATTTTGCAAAAAATCGATAAAATCGATATCGATCGATGACGAAAAGTAACCTATGACACCCGCCGGGGCCCGAAGTGTATGTGTGCCAAGTTTGGTCCCGATTGGTTCAGAAATGGAATTTTCTATTCGGAACATACGTACAGACAGACAGACAGACATACAGACAAACAGACATTCAGCTTTATATATAAGATGGCATACGGCTATAAATTCTTAGGCCATTTGACTTCAGAGATCTAAGATAGGGACGTATGCGGACTAGGTAATATTCATAACCAGAACATCAGATCCCCCCCCCCCTTTCCAAGCAGATACATGATTTTGGCCTCTTACGTATACTATCGTAGCCCTACAATAAGGGCTACGCTAGCGAATGAAAGTCATCTGGATCAGGTCACGGTGTACTAGATTAGTCCCTGTTTATAATGCTTTTGCCAGCTTTGTATGTATTGAGTGCATTGGACTGTTGTACAACTGTTTATGTTCTTTACCGCTAGCTGTGGTGCTGCAAGTGTACGAGGAGAGTTTGCATATTTCACTCATGTACCTATGTACTTGTTTGCCATTGTTAATTGTTCCTATCATTGAACGGTCAAGCTTGAGATGCACATGCTAATTCCACGAGAGCCCAACGGAACTGTACTCCATGATAATGTTACAAAAGAAGCGAAGTTTTCGCCAGTGCACCTGTATAACAAAAAAGCATCTATGAAGTGAAAACACAGCTGTTGAGATAACCGCAATCATTTCCGAACTTATTAATGCTAGATGAAAATGAGGAGTTTCAGCTGAGATATTGCGTGTTTCTTACTAAAGTTATATATTTAACATGCTTGAAGTCGTTACATGGAGATTAGAGTTGCATAGTAGACTTGCAAGACGCAAAATGGAGTTATTTAGCAAGCGCATCCTCAAAACAGGATTATCAAGATAAGGTGCTCTAAAGAAGATTCCTGTTCCAATCGCAAGTATTCGTTCCTGCGGGCGAATCTACGGTCACTCTGAATTGCGCGCTCGCAACGTTAACGGTTCGCGATGCATATGCGCACTGTCGGAGAGAGCGAAGAGAATGAAGAGAGGGCAGACAAGCAAGCCGTGGGCGTGACGCAGAACCCTAGCGACGCGGAATCCCGCCATGCCATTGGCCTGATTAGGATTGGGGCAGACTGTAGGCCAGCTAGTATGCTATAAGCTGAATTTATATGAACGTCCACAAACGAACGCTTCCTAAATTGACTATACTGGTATACTGTCAGCAGTTTCTAAGCGAAAAAAAAAACCGAGTTTCCAGTTTAATGAGCAACGGAATTCGTGTGAATACAATATTGTAGTGTGCAATCAATTCTAGATGACTTTCTATGTTCGAAGTACTTTATTACTACCACGCTACAAATAATCAGAAAATCTTTGTTACGTTACCATGTCGCAATTACTCAAATTATAGGGGTGCGGGAAGTTTCTCACCCGAGTCATATTCTCGCACCTAAGTGATGTGCCTGCCACGCACATTCGGAGTTGCTATAATTACGAGCTCCTCAGAAGACCAAGACATCGCAAGCCCCGCCCCTTATCCAAAGTCGCTCCAGAGCTGAAACCGGGACTTCAAAGAAACTTTCAAAATCGAAGTTCAGGAGTGAATCTGCTCTAATCAAGACCAAAGTTCGGATTTAGGGGTTTTGAGGTTGCTCTTTTCAGCAGTGAGATTGTTTGCTGCGAGGTCAACGTTCAGCACCGATAATGCTTAACCAAAATTAAACGGATTTGGAGGTTTCCGAAATTTCTTAGTTCGAAACAAGACCGAAGTTCAGGTTTACGAGCTCTCAAAAAAAATATGAATGAACTAATGAAGAAATAGCCGTAGCATAGATTTGTATGAAATTTAATTCTGAATACGAGTGGCTAAACTAAAATAGATTGAAGCAAACTTTAAACTGGTCGTATTATGGTTATCACGTATTTGGAAAGTTAAATTTAACTATAAACAAAATTTCCAAAATCTATGCCATGAATATTTTTTTCAATGTTCCACTTATAGTTTTGCGTTAGAAGGTTGATGTGAAAGCAATACAATTTGAATTAAATTTTAAAAGTGGCACACAATAAAATGCTGAACCTTTGCAATTAACTATTTTTCCTGAAGATGTTTTCTTCTTCCAGTTGCTTGTTAAGCGTCTTTTTCGTAAATTTTCCATTTTCATTGAGTGCTTATAATACCAAAAATTCTCTGAAAAGTGGAGTAGATTTACATTGGTTGTTTTCAAAATAATAAATAGTTTTCCTCTATTGGTTGACACCATTCCGAGCCTTCTAGGTCTACTATAAAGCTTTCTGGCATTGAGCCAGCCTCGATGACCTCAGTGACCTATGATACAACAAGTTTGAAGAAATATTTGGCTGGGTCATTATCAGCGCTCTACCTTGACATACTCTTGAGACTGAAATCACGGGAAAAACCTCTGCGGTTTCACACACGTATATCTGCTTCTGGCTTTTCAATTCTATGAAAGTAATTCGGTTTTGTAAGAAGAACATTCTTCAAGAAATGTTCGAAAATCACTAATGATTGCTAGTATTTCTCATGCCGCACGTGTTGGTATGGTGGAACTTTATTGACCTAACGTTTCGAACAACTCGTCTTCGTCGGAGGTCTGAAAAGGATTGTAGTTGAAACTAATGATTGGAACTAATGATTGCTACTGAAGGTGAACAAAACGTATATCTAATAAGCGAATTCGAGAACCGTAAACCTGGGCTTCGATCTCGATTCAAATATGAAATTTTGAAAAACTCTAATCCAAATTTTGACCTTGGTTAAGCATTACCGGTGCTGAACGTTGACCTTGCAACAAACAAATCTCGCTACTGAAAAGAGCAACTTCGAAAACCCCTAAATCCAAACTTTGGTCTTGATTGGAGCAAATTCACTCCTGAACTTTCGGTTTCAGCATCTGGAGCGACTCTGGATAAGGGGCGGGGCTTGCGATGTGTTGGTCTTCTGAGGAGCTCGTAATTATAGCAACTCCGAATGTGCCTGGCAGGCACATCACTTAGGTGCGAGAATATGGCTTGGGTGAGAAACTTCCGCCCCCCAAATTATAGGCACTCTTCTGCGATCCATTTTTCAAACCGAAAGCAGTTTCTCTGGTCTATGTGTGATTTCCTTCCCCCTTCCCCTGAACCATGGAAGCGGTTCCAATCGCCTGTGCAAGATCCTTTTTTCGGCCAGCTTTACCAAAATTCAACAAAGTGTGCAAATGAAAGCTCTTTATTATACCACAATCAGATATCCATAGAGCTTGTTGAGTTCACTACAGTGATAAAGCGAAACGGAGCAATGCTTAAGAACATGTATTTTACAATCAGATTTGACAAAAACTATAATTATTACAAGCATATTAACCAAATATTGACTGAACCTTTAACATACAAAATTGTCTATAAGTTATTTCTTTCTCTCTATCAAACTATTCACAGCATCATACAAAACTGGCTTTAAAGCTGATAAATGTTCCGGGACTTGATCGATGTCGGTTTTGACCTAAAACTCAGATATCAGTGGTAGTGAGACTAAACGGTCCCAGTGCATTTTCACCTTTTCTGAGTATCGCTTTTCAAAATTCAGAAATTCTTCGCGTAACCTCAGCTGCTCAATGAGAACTTTTATCCGTTTAACACTTGCCTCATCAGGACTTCCATAATGCTTCTAAAGAGCATCTTTAACAAATAAATTTTTTCGCCATTTCGATTCACCCTAAAATCGTCCAACTCTGGTTTTCCTTGTAATTTCTGTACAGCTCGTACGCTGATCCATGTGCATTTTCCGTCTTGTATGTCAGTGCCTACCTTTCCAGTTAGGGTAGGGTCTCCAAAAACGTCTAGCGCATCATCCTGCAATACTTGATTCCATGCGAGAACTGGTCTTCATAATGCTTAATTGTGGATTTGCACGAAAGCGATGTTGAAACCAATGTCAAAGTTGTGTATGCTGACTTGAGTTATGTAAAAGCCAATTTCGTTTTGTATGAGAATGGTTGGTGTCCACCCCTTGGATACTTGGATTTCTTACACGAAAACAGATTAGTGAGTAAATCGAACCACTACCCAAGCAGCAGCTCTTATATTCTATTCGTAGTAGGGAGATCTAACGCTTGACTCCAGCCCATTACCCGTACCCTTTCCGTGCGGACCAATCAGGGCCCTCGAGTACGGTACCCTAGGCAATCAGCGTCTTGAACGGTATTTGGCGATATTTGAAAATGAGATTTAAACAATGTTTGTGTAGACATTTGTAGACGTTGTTTGTGACCTAATTTGCGTAGACATTGGTCTCCTGCTAGAATATCTATCCTAGATGGTAGATTCTCACTTGCGATTGAAATAAAAATCCTATTCGATATGCAAGTTGTCGTAACAATGAGTGATTATCCAAGCGATCACTAACGAGCATGGCCATTTCGATGGGATGGAAGTATGTGTAGTGTGAAGTCTTGAACGCTACTAATTGCTCATACCTGAAAATGCAACTCTGTTATTGAGGAAAAATTGATTTTAAATTGCCACCTGTCCCACGTGAAGGCGTTGATGTCCCTTACAGACGCAGTGTCAAGCAACTGCCCGATCACAGTTGCGCGTTTCGACTAAAAATGAGGGTGAGTGATTGTGTTGCGGATCCGATGTTAGGCGAGACCGCACGCAAGGAACAGGACGCAGCTGCGGACATTATCGACGTCTCTCTAGTCAAGTACACTCTCACCTGTCTCATCATTTGCTATCTCTTAAGAGCACAAAATATTTTAGGACCCGGTCTTTGCGTGCACTAATCCGTAGTTCCAAGGAACTGTAGACTGAACTTTACCTTCTGATAAGCGCTACATAAACGATCTACTTGTGGATGCTCTGGATATAACTCCCTGCAAATATTTTAGTAAGCGCTGGTGAGGAAAACCCTCAGCATCAGTTTGGTACAAATAATGCATAGTTCACCTGATTATGTCGTCTACAAAAACATCGAGTAAGAGGGCATCATTTACAGCGCTTAAACCGATGTCAGCCTGAAATCAACATTACAATAGTTTCAGCCACGCAATCCTTCGATTCTTCATGCTTCCGTAATTTTACAGCCTGAGCAAAGATGGTAAAGGATGATGAACTGGTGCAGGACTCAAGCGCCCTTCAGAGCATAAGCATAGATCAAAATAGCTTTTGTCGTCTTTATCGTTCAGCAAGACTGTTTCGAGGTAAACATGAACTAAATCTCGCCGTACCGTGGCTGTTATGCTGTGGAATTACGGATCTTCAGATCAAGTTCAAAGTATTACATTTTTATACCAGCATGGCTTCCCTCGTCGAGTTTCGGCGCCATCCATAACGTCGTCAATTATTATGTAGAAGCCTTGAATCTAAAACAAACATAAACCACAAATATTATCTACATCAGAATTTTAGAAATTTGTACCTGTTTTAGTTGCAGCCTACAACGTGAAGTTTAAATAAGGGTTCAAAAGATGCACTTAATTTTGTGCTAGTTTTTGGGTCTATTCAATAACGTAAATTTCACTACTTGACCGAAAAATAGCCTATACACTTTATACATAACTGAATTTGTGCATCTGCACCAAATAAATCAAAGCAAAGACATATTTAGTCTCTGCATAAAAACAAAGTAGCTTCATAACCTAAGGCCGTAATGGAAGCTTCCGCGCTGGAATGCGTGGCCACAAAGGGACGCTGTGTTAGATACAGACCGTAAATACAACCAAGGCATGTATAAACTCACCATTTCTAGTAAAGCGGCAAGTTCTGCCATTCTGTGCATTTCTGCAGTTTCCGCTTTAGGGTTCAACGCTCTGAATGCTTGCAAAGCAAGCATGGATCGCGAGTTTTTGCCTCCGGTCACTGTGTCATCGAAAACCTAATACAATACAAAATTCAGAGTCCAGATGTACAACATGTTTGATAACATACCCGCTTCGCTCTGTACTTGACTGTATCAAACTCGAAAGAATCCGCTGCAAACTGACGTGAGGTGAGATCAAGAAAACGACGCCGAACATTCTTCAAGGCAACATCAATGAGATTTTTACTCACAAGTTCCTTGGCAGCTTGCATCTGACAGTAAAAACTAGCACTACAATGGGCATTGAAGGCAAAGCTGGTCCCTAAGCCTCTTGTCTACTTTTCGTTTTTATTGCCGCAAAATTCAACGTGTTCTCTGAACTTTGCATTCATTTGAAAAATACAGAATTCCTCGTGGAAGTTGCTCAACGAGTCCCTCGTGGAAGTTGCTCAACGAGTCCATCAGCAAGGCTCCAAAAGTTGAAAAACAATCGGATTAACTCCCTCCAGCCAATCAATACGAACAATAAAATTCGAGATTTATTCAAAATTCGAAGCTATTCACTTGATATGGATTAAATTAGACTCATATTGGACTCAATTCGACGCATATATTCATAACTTGTTATTTCAATAACAGTCATTATGGCAAGCAACTATAAAGCGATTCCTAGCAAGTACAAACAAAAAGAAATCGGTGAGTAAAACAATGGTATACAAGACACTTTGCGGAAGCTAAGCGTTTCCAGGTACGTAAACAAATGCAGCGTATACCAACATAATACAAGTAATGACTATCACTATACACGTACAGCAAATGCGTAACATACATACACAAATCACCTGTGTCATCTCCACAATCATCACTTGTCAGCGTGAGCAATTCAAGCGGAAACTAGTGGATTTTGAGGTGACTGCTTTCACAATTATACAGCTAGAAGTATACGGATGCTTTTCTTCTGGCCAAAAACAAAGAAGATTTGTTTCAAGGTTCACTGTTGCAAATTGGTACAGATAGATATACTGTAAATCAATTCTGAGTTGACTAGAATCTTGCAAAAGGTAAAGAAGCTTCAACAGCTGAGCTCCTTCACAACCAATTTGGTGAAATCTAGCGCAAGTATTACAGAAGAGCTACAGACTACAGCTCAAACTCGCTTAACGCTGGTCAAAACAAAGTTACATGATGCGTCTCGAATCAATCCTCCCATTCTCCGTCATCGCCGCTGCTCTGTGATTCTTCGTCGTCGTTGCCCATCACATGTTCCATGCGTCGTTTCAAAATCGCTGCGACATCGTTGGCTTCGGCTGCGGCTTTGTCCGCAGCAGCTTCCTCAGCAAGGCGTACCTGGAGAGAAAAAAAAGGATATGTTGGCTTTTGGACATGGATAATAAAGTGGTAAATCTATGTCAAAACCACTGAAACAATGCGTAGAAAGCAAAATGTACACAGAGGTCAATAACAGACCAGTACGCCTAGCTTACCTTTTTCAGCTTGATGCCACTCTGGATTTCTGCCAGCAGATTACTTCGTGTATCAGGTTTCTTTTCTTCACCTTCAGTCTCAGTTGATGCCTGCAAAAAAAGATGCAGTTCATCACCATTGTCAAATATTTTTACGAAGTCATCCAGAGGTCACAGAGAAAAAAAAAGAAACGCTACCTTAGTGGCTCCTCCGAAGGTCGCTGCAGCAGGAGCTGGAGCAGCCATAAGAGTAGGTGGAGGCGGCGGAGGGGCTGGTGGAGGAGGCTAAAATAGGTCAACAATCTGTCCTCGTTTAAACTGAATGAATTGTTGTGATAAACTACAACGGCAAAAAACTGACGTTATCTATGTGGAAAGAAGAACGCAGTAGACGCAAATAATAACTCACTAACACTTAGACACAAAAAAAGAGGGTGAAGGATAAACACGACATACCACTGCTTGTGCATCGCTGGGTACAAGCTGAATAGCACTCGGTGGTGGTGATGGAAGGTGGTGCACCACACTTGTGTGCATCAGAGTAGGCGGTGGAGGCGGCAATTCCTCATCCTCGTCGTCTATGGAGAGCAGAGCCAAATCCGGAGGCGGAAGTTCGCGCTAAAACAACAGGTGGAAAAAGGAATGAACCTCGCTGTCAATTGTAATAAGATAGCTGATAAGATACGCACCTTCATTTCCTTAACTGGACTGACAACAGCTCTTTGGCGACTTTCTACCGATGGTGCTGGTCGAGTAGCATTCATGGACGATTGCATGGATGTATTCTGGGTCTGCGGAGGCTAGAAAGAGTCAGTTCGATAGTTTCTTCAAAACAAAAACAAAACTGTGTCGACTCGAAAACGCAAAGTAGATTACTCGCGAATCTACCTGTATGTGCTGAATTTGACTTGTTTTGTGCAACTGCAATCCCAAAGCTTGAGGCGCTTGGTACTCATCAGGGAACGATAACGCTGCAGCACGAGGATTCCGCAAGGAAGACATATACCTAAAAACACGGGACCACTTCCTCGTTCAATGTTTTGGTTCGCTGGTTGTTTTACCAGCTTGCTAAACAATAAAAAAATGAGGAACTTCTTACCTGGCTGCTTGTTGCCTCGGTACTTCTTGATGCTGCGGGGGTACTCGCTGCCTTCGCTTCTTCGGACTCTTCACAGCAGCCAACCCATCAGGTGTTGGAGATTTAATTCGTCTTCTCGTATTATTATCAGCGCAATCCTGACAACCAAATAATTACTGTGCAAATCACATGATCGAATATAAGACTTCGACAGACTTTGAGCATTTCCTGTCTCCATAGATCGAAGAAAAATGAAGGATTGGTGTATAGGCTGAGAGCACCGGGAGCTCCAGGATCTCTTAAACATTATGTTGGACAAAATTCTCAGTGAAAGTAGCAATGGTACTGAAGTCAAAGAGGGAGTAGTCGTAATTCGGAATCTATGATGCTCTACGTTATAACTCAAGCTTCGATAAACTTAATAAATCAAGCGCACCCATAAACTACGTTCCGACAAAACATATACGAAAAAATGGGTAGCAAAAACAAACTTCAAAAGCAAACAGCGCACCTGAAAGGATTGAGCGCATCCAAGTTCGGAGGAGGATCGCACCGTGAATAAACTTCAGCCAACGCAACTGGTAAGGTACTTCGATCCAAAGTGTGCTGATCAACCAACATGGAACTTTTGAATGGTTTTCTCATTTGTAGTTCACCCAAGCTGGCTGAAAATTGGTTCAATAGACCAACCTGATGAAACAGTTGATCAGATAATCAAAAAGGGAGGTAGCACACAACCGGGCAAACCTTAAAAAATACCTTGTTCTGTAGTTGAGTCCAATTTTGACACTTTTTCCGTAAGATTCGCTATCCGCTTTTCGAGAGTGTTTGATTTATGATCCAGCTTCATCGCTTCCAAGTAGATTTCACCAAAGATGTGCTCAGCATGTTTACTGATGGAACTTAGCTGCCTGATAAGATTTGCTAGGGAGCTATTCGCAACGTATTGAAGTTCCCCATTTGTCACTTCCGGTGGTATTTTAATCCGACTGAGGTCGACTGGCGAGACTGCCCGCTTGACCAGCGGCATCTGGAAAAGACTCGTGATGGCTGATGAGAAAGAAATCCAGAATCACGGGAGAAAAACAAAAATCTTCGGAAATCTTCATCTTCAAACTGTTGAAATTATCGGAAACGATTATGAGAAGTATCTAGGAGATATGTTATTGAATTGAATCATGAGATAGGATGTACGCTGATTTTCCTTTACCTGTAAAGCATGCAAACTATCTGCTATGCAAGACTACAAAACGATACAAGCGAATTGAATATGAAAAGATCCACATGAATAGAAATTCGGACAAATCGATAGAATCGAGCCAATACATCATAATAAAACCTGACAAAGACATTGCGTACAAAAAGTGAAAAACGTCTACTACGACAAGATGACTGACGATAACGACGCTATTCTGCTGGTCAAAGCAAGACCGAGAACAGGAAGTGAATAGCATTGTATGAGCAAATTCGATAAATACTACTCAATCTTTCAAAATAGGTCAAAGGAATTGACTCTACGCCATCTAAATCGTCAAAAACAAAAATAATTGGTATAAAAAATTAAATAACTGGTTTTCTTTTCCTCCTTTTCGGCTCACTCAGAAGCACACGTTTGATAATGAAGTCCAAAGCAGCGAAATGTAAAGCTGACAACAACTCAACCTTGATGGAGAGGAAAATCAGAAGTCTAAAACAAACTTCCTTATTTTCGGAAAAAAGGGGTACTATTCACACCGAAGGGACCTCTGCGAATATCACGTACCGCTGGCTGCACTACTGAACGAAGACGGGACTCCGACTTCTTCCCGATACAAGATGGAATCTATAGCGAAGAACTTCTACACCAACCTCTTCCGCTCATCAACACCCGTGCAGATGCCCGTTGTTCCCACTGGAGAAGTACCACAACGAATTCTACCTGCTGAAGTGCGTATCGCGATACAGACCATGAAGACGTCCACGGCTTCAGGACCAGATCATCTTTCCGTCGAACTTCTGCGAGCCGGAGGACACCGTCTATACGAGATTCTAGCGTCGCATTTGACATCTTACCTTCAGAAGGAGAAGATTCCCGACCAGTGGAGAACGTCAAGAACCGTCCTTATCTTCAAGAAGGGTGAACGGGAGGATCTTCGGAACTATCGTCCAATATGCTTGCTGAGTGTGCTGTACAAGCTTTTCACGAAGATTATCCTCGCTCGCATATCAAGGACACTGGATGAAGCCCAACCCCAAGAACAAGCTGGATTTCGCAAAGGATTCAGCTGCATGGACCACATCCAGACCGTTTCGAGGGTCATAGAAGTCTGCCGGGAGTACCGACTGCCTCTCGCCCTAACCTTTGTCGACTACGAGAAAGCCTTTGACAGCGTCGAAACCAACGCCATCCTGTCTGCGCTAGTCGATCAAGGAGTGGACTCAGCTTACGTGAGGACACTAGCCGACTGCTACAAGGACTGTACAACGACGATGCAGCTATTCCATCGCCCCCTGACCATACCAATCGGGAAGGGGGTCCGACAAGGCGACACAATCTCGCCGAAGCTGTTCACCGCGGCCTTGCAGTGGGTGGTGAAGTCACTGGACTGGGACGAGAGAGGCATACGAGTTGATGGGAGATTCCTGTCCAACCTTCGTTTTGCGGACGACATCGTTCTCTTCTCGAGCAGTATCACCGAAGCAGAGACGATGCTGAAGGAACTAAACGAAGTAGGGAAGAAGATCGGACTGCGAATAAATCGGAAGAAGACTCAGTTCATGAAGAACGCCCTTTGCGAAGATGCAGAAATGGAATTGGAAGGCACCCCGATTATGGAGACGTCTTCCTACGTGTATCTCGGACGTTCGATGAACATGGAGAACGACTTGAGGGAAGAACTCAACAGGAGAAGAAGAGCAGCCTGGGCCGCCTTCGGGCCCCTGAAGGAAGCCACCGACCAACTGACGGACCCGGAGCTTCGTGCCCACCTGTTCGACTCAACCGTTCTCCCGGCGCTCTGTTACGCAGCTGAGACTTGGGCCGACACTGTAGCCACGTCGAAAGCTCTACGGACCACCCACAGAGCGCTCGAGCGCAGTCTTCTGAAGATGACCCGACGCAAGCAACATCTAGTCGGACTTCGCAGCACGGATATGAGAAGAATGTCCCGTCTTCGTGACCCAGCGGAATACGTCGCGAAAGCCAAACACCGATGGGCCGGTCACATAATGAGAAGAACAGACGACAGATGGACACTAAGAACATCGGAGTGGATTCCTCGCGAAGCCAAACGTCCCCGAGGAAGACCTCCAACGAGATGGGCAGACGTGTTCGTGGAACGGATGGACCAGCTGAGAAATCAGCTGGATACGATTTTTGCACCTGGAACTCGTGGACGCAGCCACCGACGTCAGCCAAGAAGATCGTGGATGTCAGAAGCGAGGGACAGGGAAAAATGGAAACTTCTGAGCTGGGGCCCGCACGTCACGTGAAGCCGGGCCATCTAAGTATCTAAGTAAGTAGTATTCACACCCGGGGTTGACCCAAAAAATGAAAGTCGTGAATTCCACTAAAATTTCGTTTAGGGGGGTTATTTGGCATGCTGAACACGAATGTGATGTTTATTTCGCGCGACAGCGCCATCCGGTGGAGTTACGGTAAGAGTACGGTAAGGGGTCAAAATCACGGATTTGCCCGATTGGCCCAGAGGGGTTATTCGGCCCGCTGATGCCAAATATCACATTGATTTCAAACCGTATTGTGATTTTCTCGGGACGGTAGCTACATGTAAAATATAGTTCTGCCTGAAAAGGGTGTACGGCGATTCGGACGGTCGTAAAGCTTTGCACACACGACCACCGCAGCGCGCTACGCACTCTGCTGCGGCTTTTGCCTAAGCAAAGTACAAGGGAAAGATAAATTTGCCGATTTGTGATTTTGACCCCTACCGTAAACCTACCGTAACCATGCAGGAAGACGTTTTCGTGCGGAGAAAGTGTGACATTTCTAATCAGCATGTCGAATAACCCCCCTATGCGAAGTTACAGCGGATTTTGAGATTTTGACCCCCTACCGTATACCCACCTAACCCGAGAAAATGACGCTACGGCAATGTGATATTCAGCATCAGCGGGCTGAATAACCCCTCTGGGCCAAGTTTCGGGCAAATCCGAGATTTTGACTCCCTACCGTAATCCTACCGCTCCACCGGATGGCGCTGTTGCACGAAATAAACATCATATTCGTGTTCAGCGTACCAAATAACCTGCCTAGACGAAGTTTTAGCGAAATTCACGTCTTTCATTTTCTGGGTCAACTAATGTGGAATAGCGCCAAAAAAGGAAAGTAGCCAAAACCGCAATCATAGACCATTCTCTGGTCACATACTATGAGAGGGTCATCAATAAACTAACAAATATAGTACCACAAAAAGAGAATGAGTGACGAAGAAAAATACTCTTTAGCGGAAGGTCTTCCCTTGTATTTCACATAAATTACTAGTAATACGAACACAAAATATTTATTTTATAATCAAGTACAGAATCCCTGCTCCGATAGAATCAATTTGAACCAAGAAAGTCAAGAATTCATAAGCGTTTGACAGGTGAAAAGAAGGAATGCGTCATTGATGCGAATGCCGCCATCAATCATCGTTAGAGCACTGATTCGAGCTGGAGCATACTTGTGCATTAGTCAATTTGGTAATCCGATTCGAACGTCATTCATTTTGAAAACGTAGACGGCATGATGGAAAGGAAATATCACTGTGAATATGAATAGCACTAGATTCCAATGTGAGCAAATTTCGAACTTCACTTTGGTAAAAGATTGGAAAAATCGACGTAGAACTAATAGATTGGATAAACAATTCAAGCTAAACGATAAACACAGCTGAACTATAAACGGTTCCAAACATCTTAATGCATTCGATCGGTCATTACGACCTGTCACACGGAGTTTGCGAGTCCGAAGGTCAACATGAATGGCTGCGAATCGATTTAAGTTGCTAAGAAAGTAAGAGAAAAAAGTCCATGATTCGCATGGATAAAAAGCTAGTATTATTGAATTCGAGCGCAGATCTAGTGAAAATGCGGATTTGTAAGTCTCGTCTTCTTTTCCTCATTTTTTCAATTTTTTGACTTTTTTTTTCGACTTGATGTGACCAAATGGGATCTAGCGGATTAAGTTGAATGATACAAATAAAATGTGGAGGTTTGAAAAAATCATTTTATGGCGTGGAAAACTAATGCAATTGTCTCTTCCTCTGCAAATACCGAAATTTTGTGTTTCTAACAGCCTGAATATTTGCACCAAACTGGTTGATGCTTTTTTCTCTTCTTGAAAAATGTTAGAGCATCTGGGTGAGCGCGTTTCACAAAATCTTCACAAATTGGCTGTGTTTCTACACATTTGGAGTCATTTGATAAGCTGAACTTGTCAGGGAAAATTATGATAATTATATGCAACCTGTCATCGCAAATTGTCTACAATTGACCATGAAGAACCGAACATGTAAAAAAGAATTGAAAAAAATTGCCACAGAAAATAACTGGTAGCGCATTCATACAGAATCAGAACATTCTTGTCTCATGACAAAATACATTTCTTCCTACAGCATATCAAAAAAGTGCAGTTATTTGGTCACATTTCTTGGAAAATGGAAAGTGAACTCTAACTCATTCAAATTTCCTCTAGCAATAAATTTGAAACTTTTCAACCGCACTTTCCGGTCTCATTAGAAATGTGGAAAATAAAACATGAAAGTGAATAATGGAACGATAACAGTTAGATCATAACGCACTAACCTGAATGTAGTTCAGCAAATCAATTTCTATCAAACATGGAACTCGGAACTGATGCTCGTATCTAGTTCCACTTGAAGAACTAGTCGCATGTAATGTCGTTGAATACTATAGGATCGCAGAGAGAGCACTGGATGGAAAACGGTTTTTTTTTTCACAATGTCAAAATGCTGTCCAAATTTCATTCTGGGAAGTACTTAATATAACTAAACTGCGCTTGTTCCCGTCGAGATATATCCAAAAATGTTACTAGGTTAAGATTCTGTTTGTTGTAAGGTCTTAACATAATTTTTAGATGTTCCATTTATCGTTTCTGGACCATTACAACTCTCTATAGAACTTATCATCAAATGCAATAATGACTACCAAAATCAGTCAGTTCAAAACCAGCTTTTGTTCTTTCATCATCATTACCGTACTCATAAGATTGTACAGAAAATGAATTTTTGGAGGCCTCATTTTGAAAGTCTAAAAGTGAAAAATAGTAGGATCGTAGGAAACTCGATCGGAGTTAGATACGGAGATTGTCGATTTTGGAGCAGCGCTAAGCTTGGATATCACGAGAAAAGTTTTGTTAAAATATACCAAAAAAAATTCGAATATCCATTGTTTTTTCTTGTCAAACAGGGGGAAAATTACCTTTCACAAATTCAATCTTGAACTACAAAAAGCGGCAAAAGTTCCTTGGGTAAACACCCGTTTTTTACAGCGTCTATTTCGTTAAATATATTAGGTTGGTTCAAAATTAATGCAGGTTATTCTTACCTCTTTTTTCCGAGCTCTAGGTTATGAGGTGAAAGCGTCCCTCCTGCAAATCATTTTATAAAAGCCCGCGTCTTCTAGTTTCTAATATAAATTTTCATTTTCGAAAATCTTCATTCACTTCGGAGTTCGGCGCTCTCAAAAATAAGAGATCAAAACACGAAGTCTTTGCCTTTCAATCTTGTTGCTCTAAATAAGATCAACGGTCGGATTTATTCGAAAAATATGTTTTATGATTGCAAAGTTCTACAATATGCTTACTAAGCCTAAATTTCTGAAGAATGATGGGCCGAGAGGCATCGACTTGACTTGGCTGATCTTTTTGGCCCTAAGCTGTGTAAGAATCTTAAGCGAAGAGCGATTGCAGTATCGCTCTGTACAGGTGGAGAGGACCTATGTAGTACGACGAATTAGGAAAACAGCAAGAATTTCTTAATTATCCGAGGAGAAAAGATAAGAGAATTCCAGGAATAGAAGTTTTTTTCACTCTTAAAAATGCCGAAGTGGGTACTTCTGATTTTTTCGCAAGTGGAGTCGATTTTGTCGCAGAGATTTTCTTAAAAATCCAAGCTTTGCTCCACTATTCAACAGAATTTCGCTTTTTTCAAAAGAGCCGAACATCCCACATAACAAAGATTCTCGAAGGATTTTATGCGCCTTTGATGCAGCTTTATCCTCTTTCAAAAGTTATCTCCTCATTCTAGTACAAGCTATGAGCTCAAAGAAAATGATCAAAAACGGCCCATGGTTTTTGCTATATTCAAGTTCCGCCAATTTTCTAGATTCTAGCACTGATTTTCAGAAAAAGTGCATGTGACAGTGGAAAGAACACCTACAAGATAATGATTTTTCTTTCTTACACAACTTGCTTTTCAAAATTTCTAAATTATTTGATGCTATCAAATCGCATATGTGGTCGACTCACTTCGTAGAACATCAATGGGCGACAAATATGGATGTCAATCGATGCTTTTTTCTCCTTTCAGATACGGTTATTTTTCGTTTCTGATTCGTGGAGTCTTCGGGGACAAAATAGAAAGCCAAGACAGAGAAACATATTTCGTATTTTGAATCCGTGAATGTTCATCTGGTCTGTAGAATCAGTGTTGATCTATTATCTCTCTTTGGAAGCTTCAAATTCCAGAGATTTACTGATGTCTGATGAGTTTGTGTTTATCACAGGCCTGCTAAACTCTGGTGGTCTAATTATAAAATTTACCAAAAATTATGAAGTGTTATTGAGGAAGAGAAAAAAATCGTCTTATATCCTGTGGGGTTTGTATTTATCGGTTACTTAAATTGCTTTTGGAATCAGTACAAAAGCTTACAACAATAGGGAAACTTGACCATAGCAAAAACCACGGGTCGTAGCTTTCGGTCATTCTTGAGAGCTTGTTGGCTATATAGAAATGAGGAAACCACTATTTGAAAAAGGATAAAAATTAGCCTCGAATGCACTCAGAATTTTTGAGGATCTTCTGGGGGATTTACGCTCTTTGAATAAGCGAAATTATCCTCGGAAGGACCTGATATTGAATCACTCTCTCTGCACCAGGCGTGCTGCACTAGCTTTCAATCAATTAATCAATAATCAACATTTAATCATTTAATCAACTGATCTTTCGATCAATCGTAACTAATTTCAAAAGGGCTCTGATTGTGAGAGAAATCGCTGATTACGCCAAAAAATAATCACAGTGTCCTAGGTAAGCACAGCAAGTTTCCGGTCTCAGGTTGGGTCTCTAAAAAAGCAGTGATAAGGAAAATGTGCAGAAGACGTTTCTGACGGATTATTCATATGATTTTCATGAAAGCCTGCAGCCTTGCTAGTGAGAATATGGATTTTTTGGGCTGGCTTGCGGCACTTTGGGATTTTTGAGATCGAACTCCAAACCACGATTTTGAATTGCCGTTCTAGAAAGCTTTGTTCTACAAAGCAAAATAATAAAAAACTTTTCGAGTCGTTATCGTAAAGCGCAAACCTTGTTCTGTTCTCAGATTTATTGAATTTTATTGAATTACGCAAGAAGCTCTTGCCAGCCTAATATTTCGTGGGAATCTCCTATCGACTCATTCTCGACTCCTCAAATTCCTTAAAAATTTAAACTTTTGTCAATAGTAACAGTGAATAAAAGGGACTAGTGCTCTAAGGACTTGTTCAAACTAAATTTTGCACCTTTCGTTATTTCCGGGATCTGCGCTGCACTTAGTGCTTGTAGTACCCTTTATTTGCACTTTCATATTTCCTACTAGACTGCAAAAGTGCATGCAAAGATCACACAGAGCTCTATGTGAGGAGCTGGAACGAAGAACGCTGCAAAGTTTGTTGGAAAAAAGATTGTAGATGAACCTTTACGAAGTGTTTCTGTGTGTGGTCATAGTTCCACTAGATTACGAGTAAAAATAGCTTTGGAAAGCCCTATAAAAGCAATTTTCTGTGCAAAAACTGGGGCGCGACCTAATTTTGGCTCATTGCCCTGGATTCGGTCCAAAAAAGCGATAACCTCGGCGGGAAATGGCTTCGAGTTTCGCGCAATCGGCTACCGTAACCGGCTTGAATCAGGAATTAGGTCGCAGTTGGGCGGTCCGTTGTCAACAGGGCCTCGCGGGGCCGACGGAGAGTCATTCCAGCGGACTCGCGTTTGCTAGGAGGTTGTTCCCGGTCTTCAAGCCTTTCTTCTTTCCTACTTCTTCTCCACCACAACACCAGTCGCAATGGCTACCGCTATGATGAGTCAACCATCGCGATTCTCCGTATACGGTTAGCCGATTTTTTCTAAGTTAAGCTAGGTATTAATGCGATTTCAGTAGTAGAGAGTCTAGTGGCTCTGTGTGTCGCTTTATCGGTGTTCTCATTGGTTCCAAAGGCCTTTTGAAAACATTCCGATATTGCAGGAAGCGTCGGCACGCCAACCAACATCCTGGGGCGAAAACTGCCCTAAACTCGCGCTGTATGTGTGTAAAATCACTATATAAATGAAGTTTGTGCCGCGAGAGGGCAGTATAAGCAGCCGCCACCGCCGAATGGGGATGGTCGCGACAATGGCACCACCTCCACTCACCCGAGGACGAGCGGACACAAATTAACGGTAGAGGGACTTGAGACAATAACTTGACTCTGATTGGCGTGCTTCCAGTAGTTCTAGGCTTAGGCTAGGTTAGGGTTACTTCCTCTCGTAACGGCCTTGTAAGCTGCGTCTGTAACTGACTGGTACAGGTTTTTCCTTCACGAAAAATTGCGGTCCAAAAAGGCTAATCTTGCTTTATTTTCAGTCGGAAACATCCCCTACCAAACCACCGAGGACGCCATCGGAAACTACTTCAGTCAAGCCGGAAATGTCACCAACGTCCGGTAAGTTGTTTACCCACACAAATTCCCCCGCAAAACATCCATCATATACTTTCTCTTCCAGAATCGTCTACGACCGTGAAACCGGACGACCAAAGGGATTCGGCTTCTGTGAGTTCTCCGATGAAGCTGGAGCACAAAATGCCGTCAATACTCTCAATGGTGCTGACTTCAATGGACGATCCTTGAGAGTGAACTGGGCCAACAAGAACTAAATCTATTATGATCTCGCTCTCCACAGTCAACACCATACAACAAAACATCAGAAGATCTTTGTCGTTGTATAAATTTGACATAACTTTTGCATTGAAATGTCTCATTTATTATTGTTTTCATGACGGCAAGTAAAACTGTACGATCACATGTTTTTCTGTTCACAAAGAGGATGCTGAGAAATTTAGAAGGAGAGAAACACCTTATCATCAAGACGTGTGATGCTACAGTAGGAAGAAAAACCAGTCGAGACCATTTAATCTTATCAGTGGTCGCTCCGTCCCTCCGTCGTAATCCGCATAGATGACGAGCTGATCTATGATTTTGTTCGGGGTGGGTAAACAGCAAAACTTGTGAAGAAATATCAAGGTTACAACATATATATATAACAACGTCTTTCCGATATATTCAAAATTATGGTTTAATTATAAATAGTATAAAATCACCTCTGAAATCATAGTAAGAATTATGCAAAATCCGAAAAAGAAATGTTTCAATTTTTGGAAAACATTCTGCAAGCCATGGTTGCAATAAATCCCATATCAAGTTGAACAACGGACTGTCAAGCAGGATAGCTTTTCTAGCGCAAAATTCAAAGCAATAACGATGCTTGTTTTTTTCGAGAGGGGATCACGAAAGAGTATCTCGCCTATAATTTGATGCTATAATCCTAATTTTTTGCATTTTGTTTGTTGTTTGGGTAGACGATTTTAGATTACAAATTCATTCTGTTAGGAGGGATTATAATCAGTGCAAAAGTTTTACTTTCACTTCACCGCTGTTGGGCATCGGAAACGTCCTTTGTGAGCATATCTAGCTGTAAGACTCCTGCAACAATTTTCGAGATAAGTACATGTTTGGAAAGTGCATAGTCCGAGAGGACATACTATTCTTCTCATTTGCTGTTGTTCACTTTTTTGCCCATGATTTTTATTATTATATCATACTCATGTTCAAAAATTTGCAAAGTGGAGAAATTGGTGTCAGAAAATTGTTTTTTAGTCAAGTTTACTTTTTCTCCTTATTTCCTTTCTTTCTGCGAATTTTTTATGGTGGTGTATTTGCTCGTAAACTTTGATCCATCTTTCTTCAATACATTCATTCGGGGAGTGCCGTGCGAGCGTTGTTTGCGCTGTCGCCACCAATCAATACCTCATTGAGGGGATTTGCGCTCGCGCGAAGGTTGGAAGGTCGCCAACATTAGTTGAGAGGGGGGGGGGGGGCGAACGGAGGCGCACACATGACGGAAAACGACAGCTAGAGTGAGAATTCTTTTTTTTCGTGTTGTGTATGGATGTGGAAATTGAGGAAAATTTGCAGAATTACTGTCAATTTGTTGAACCCAATGTTAACCCAATTTAGTTCTCTTTATTTGGTCAGGCGGTTTATGAAAATAAAGCCAAGGGGTCTAAATACATTCCGGTAATAGGGGTTGTGTTTACACCTCACTTTACTCTATTCCATAGAACCGGCTGCTGTTTACAACGAGATAGGAGCAAGTAGCGGCAAGCGTAGTCGATTGCCTGTTGTCAGCGCGGAGTCGACTTTGCGGGGAGAGGGAAGAATTCTCATGGATGTGAATCAAAATTTGTAAAACATGGGTCTGAGAGAGATAATGTTACTTAAACAAGATAATTTTAGGGATATGCTTTTGAGATCCTCTCGAGAGAAAAACTTCAAACCTAACCTGATGTATAGGGGCCTGCAGGATCGCGAGAGTCGGACGCGCGTACGGCCTTTGCGCCGCGCACGCCTGATATCGCTGGGTCGTAGTCGATTAAGGCTAGATAGGTAGGTTTTTTTTGTTTTTCTTTACATTTCACGCCTTCTTTTCTTTTCAGACGGTGAGCACATGTTGGTGCGGAGGAGTTTAAGATCTGAATTAAGGTGAGGTGCAGGATTATGCTCAATACGGACTCAATATTGCAGACCTTCCATGCCTGCTGGTTGAGATGTTGGATTTTCTGTCCTGGCTGCCCTGTTACAGCAAACTGTTCTATTTCTACCGTCTATTCTACCTTATCTTGCATATTGCTTGTGATGATGATGATGATGATGATGACAATGATTATGATTGTGATGACGCGCATGATGCAAGATGAGGTAGAACAGACGTTGCAAATAAAACGGAGTTTCGTAACCGGGCAGGCAGGACGAAAAATCGAACATAATCGGACAGCCAGAACAGAAAACTCAACATTCTTCAAAGCAGGGGTGAAAAGTCCACAATATTGGCCTGTATTGAGCATAATCCTGCACCTGACCTTAATCTAGATCTTAAACTCCTCTGCACCAACATATGTTCGCCGCCTGAAAAGAAAAGAAGGCAAGAAATGAGAAGAAAAACAAAAAAAATCTCACCTATCCAGCCTAAATCGAGTACGACCCAGTGACATACGACGTGCGCGGCGCAATGGCCGTACGCACGTCCGACTCTCGCGATCCTGCAGGCCCCTATAGTACACTGCCTATCCATGGGTTTACAGAGAAAAAAACAAATCTGGGTCTAGTTGTATCTATCAAACTTACAGTTGGATTAGTACCATGATACACTGTACTATATTATTGCGGATATTACACATACAGTCGTAATATGACCTTTATCTCAGCACATCGTTTGATGATGTTATTTACAACTCAAATGATATGCTTGAGCCGACAATTACAGGGGTTCAAGGCCTGACAGTGGGAAAGTGTTATATCCTACGGCTGTTTTCCTTAATGATTGAGTTTCTAGAAGATTTTAATCGGATTAGCCCTAAAGCCAAACATTCATGGGTCGCGATAGGCCAATAACACTTTCTTTCTGGTTGATAATAGTGCTCTAATTTGCGCTCAGATCATAGGCAAACACTGGAGTTCATCCAAGAAATTTCCCCTAAGTTCCATTTCCTTTTTTGTGCCGTGGTTTGCAGCCCAAGAAACAGTCGTTCTTGGTCCTAAACACTGTTCATTCCATATCCCACACGCAAACAACGATGTCTGGATGATGCTGTAGTAATTCAACCATGTAATATTCTGTTACATGCTAATATACTACGCCGAAATATTGATTGCTTGCAAAATCACGTGGACTATCGGCAGAACCCTGACCCATTCCAAAATCAATGCACAAATGGCGCGCACTTGAATGTTACGACGTTCCATTGCCTTCGGCACTGCTCTTTTCAAGTCCACAATGCCAAAAAGGAAGGCTAACAAGGTTAGTTTTTGAAAGTCATTTAAAATAGGAGCCTAGTGAGGATCAATGGGACAATCTGCTGGGACTGTTACTTTTTTTTAGATAGAAAAAACTTACCTGAGTTTCCTATAAGGAATAGATAGTTCCGATTTTGTTTCTGATTATGCATGATTTTAAAATATCGCCATAAAGCCCATTTATTCGTAGAAGTCATAAACTGAATTGAGAATATGGAAGAGCTGTTGTGATTCCTTCTGACCTTCATAAACTGTGAAAGTAGTCTATTTTTCAATCTATAGATTACATTTTTCAGTCTGTTACAATTTTCAACCAAAGTTCACTTTTGCAGATCAGTGGTTTTGTTACTTATGTAACACATGTGGGATTACTGAACATTCTTTTGGGAGGCATGTTTATGTGCTCCTTAATTTCGTTTGTATTGGTTTATGAAGCTACCAGTGCGTCACCTCTGCTTCGCAGAGGCTCGCACTGGCCCTATTTTCTGTATGCCTTACTCATTCCAGCATAATAATGACATTGAAGCTCAACGCGTTATGTAGGCTATCACAAGTGATTCGTAAACAGCAACTCATCCTAAAGGTTTTTCATGTGAGATCGGTATTTTCACGTAGATGAGATTTTTCCCAGAAGACAGATGCAAATTTGAATAGGCTTTTGGAATTTATGGCTTGGCAGTCGCCATAAGGACAATGAACATCGTGGGCTACATCCTGTGCAAAAATCTTCTCATATGATCGCGTAAAATATTGGCAAACTGAACATTTACGCAACTAGCTGTTTTTGGCGCCATTTTCGTAAAGTAGCCAACTTTAGTTCAGTTTTCTGGACACTAAAATCCTTGGCTTCCACATTAGCTTGTCAAACATATCCATGCCATCGCGAAAAATGGTGGTACAGGCCCAATTTTGCTGGTCAGAAGCCAGGTGGATCCGTTTGCGCGCAATTTTTGAGAGATCCACTCAGCGGATCCCTCGTGCTTTTGCATAGTGGACTTTCATGATGTTAGCTTGCGCTATGCAAAATTTGGGCTCAAGAAAATTCGCTGGAACTCACTCTACGAATTTCGTAACGGATAGACAGACTGACACACACACAAAAAGACGTAAACAACCCTTAGCCCGTTATTATAAGTCATGGTAGTTAGCCTGTAGTGGTCACCATAAGCTTATCACTTCTATTACAATGCATTAACGTCATATTAATTTTGTTCAGGCCGAATTCTTCAAGCCGAAAAAAGCAAAAGTTACTGAAGTAGAGACGGAAATCAGCGATGATACAAAAGAAAATGGACTACGTGGAGATGAAAATGAACGATCATGGAAAATTCTTTCCTGGAATGTTGCTGGTTTGAGAGCTCTAGTAAAGGTGTCTTCCGCCAGCTTATTCCTGAAGTATGAGACCGGCCATACTATTCCTGCGAACAATGTATATTGCGAAAAAACAATGTATATTAAATTCGCAAAGCGCTCCATAGTGTCTCACATCGGAAGTCGAAAAGTCACGAGAACTGCAGGAATTATACAAATCGCAGAAATCACTTCCTGGAATAGTATGGTCGGTCCCTAGGGTTGCCGAGTACAGAAAGATTGGTGAAAAGACAACGACTGACTCTGGTAGAATAGGATCAATCTAACAGTTTTAGTCATATATAAGGTAAACTCAATTTTCAGAAAAATGGCCACAAATCAATAATATCTCAATCTCCCGACCTCGTTTTTCTGAGCGAGATCAAGTGCAATGAATGGCCTGTGGACTGTGAAACCGACTTCAAGGTATCGGATCTTCAGTATCTCTCGGATATCATCGACAATCGTTTGATGGTTGTAGAAGTATCACAAAACTTTGGTCATATCTCAAGAGAAAAAAGGCTATGCTGGCGTCGCCCTGTTGAGCAAAATCAAACCGATCAAGGTGAGTTGCGTGATAAGTTTCCGTTTGAAGAAAATTTCCCTTTTTTTCAAACTCTTATAATGAGCTCCAGAGCCGCTGTTGTGTTTGACAAATGCATGGGAATACGTTTTTGTCTTTAGAATGGATTTTGTATAGAACATTAGTTTTGGTGAGAAACTTAATTATAGTGACTGCTTAAGCATTAGTTCAGGTATGGAAGGGCATAGGAAATGCTAGCTATGACGGTCATGGTCGCCTCATCATTGCCGAGTTCACACATTTCTACTTCATTGGTGCATATGTTCTGAACAGTGGCCGTGGCCTTGTTAATCTAGAGAAGCGGGGCAAGTGGGAAGAGCTTTTCTTGGAGAAGATCAAGGAACTTGATGAGAAAAAGCCTATAATCTATGCTGGCGATCTCAATGTCGCACATAATGAGATTGGTGGGTGGCTTATCTTGAGCTTTGTGATGACTGTTATTTGATTTATTTAAGATTTGGCAAATCCCGAAACGAGTAGAAACAAAACCGCTGGTTTCACTGATCAAGAACGCGAATGGTTCTCAAGACTTCTGGATGCTGGTTTCAAGGTAGATGTTCCGCGTAGAAGTAATCCTTTTTGACTCTGGTATTCATGTATATAGGATACATATCGCGAACTGCATGGAGACAAGCAGGAGTACACATTCTGGTCTTACTTGGGAAATGCTCGTTCCAAGAACGTAGGTTGGCGTCTCGACTACAATGTTGTCAGCAACAGAATTTTTGAAAAAGTAAGTTTTTTTGCTGAAGAATCAAAAATCTGTGTGTCGACTTCTTGCTAGCGAGGACGTTAACTTTTTTCTCTTTTGCATCACAATGCAAAGGATCCACCTTATGCACAAGCTTATAATCTTGCGGGTAGCGCTGCTCTCGCTGAAATTGGTTCTTATTTCTATCCAGATCTTTACGTTTTGTCATAGGTGAAATCCAGCGAGATTCTTACGGAAGTGATGGGCAGCGATCATGCACCAATAGTGCTCGAAATTGACATATAACAAGTTGATTTTCGTTTCTTCCTATATTGAGTTTTGTTACTGTTATTGTTATCCTGATTAACAGCACTATATTGTTTACGAGTCGAAGCCTCGGTGTGGAGCCACGATCCATTAGCTTTTTCTTGCTTAGATATCATTCAGCTTATCTTCTTCATGAATAACCCCCTGACTGATCTCAGAAGTTATTGCGACAAGTATAACGATATTAATTGTACAACTATTGAGATACCTAACATTATCAAATGCTTTAATCTGTATTGCTGTCTATAGATGTTGTGGAGTAAAACTCTTATTTGTCCATGTCCACATAGTGTGGTGTTCACCAAGTTTATTAGAGTGAGGAAAATTGTTACAAATATACACAGAAGAAGTAAAACCAGTGAACCGTCTGCTCAGATGGCTTTGTCGTTGACAATAGAACAACTGGTAGTGTACGATTCATATAAGGGCTCTGGTGACGAGGAAGATTATGTACAAGTAATAAAACGTGAGTGACATAAAATACGGCCATTATGCTTTACCCTCTCAATTGTGCCAGCATACTTTCTATGTCTTGATCTGACATAGGTTTCGAAGTTGCATTTCCAACAGATGTAGGGACTTTGGGGACGTTGGCAAGCTGAAATTACAGTGCTGGATATTCTAGGCTTACTAATAGTAATTCAGTACAGCGTAACCTTGGAGTGAACTAGTACAATACAAAATTTACTAACCTTGCTTTGAGATTCGATGCCGATCTCGTCAAGAACTTGGTTGACAATGGCGTTTTGCTCCTCTTCGTCGCCAGGCTCATCCAGGATGTTGTCCAAAGCGTCATTCATCATCTGAGCAGAATCAACGACATTTAACCAAGGCATTACAAACTAAACGGGTAAGACGCACATCATCAGTAATTCCAAGCCGTTCTTGAGCCATCTGGAACTCTCGCATATTCTTCGCTAGTTGTTCGGTTGGCATCTGTTTTTCCATAGTTTTCATCGTGTTCACGGTGGTACCCATGACCACAGCCATTTTGTTCATACTTTGCAGGTTACTGAAAAACTTCAATATTAGCGAGGTCTGAAAACGCTGTTAGTGATCAAAGGTAGATTTTTTCGCAAATTTTACTGATATCTTAGGATCGTCATTTGCCTCGAGAAAAAAAGCTCTGCGATGGCAGACCATCCATACAGCGTGTTTCGAGAAACACCCCCTATGCTTACAATAAGCCACTGCAATTTGCCAGCTAGAGATGCAGAGGTTCTACAGGTTACATACATGGTCCTGCCGCGTAACGTCGTAGCTTATTAAAGCAAAACTGGCGCGGGCAGAAGTCGCACTTTCTGTTGCGATGCATATTCAGTCCGTGTCACTGATGAACTCCCTATTCATCGGATAACCTCCTACAGAAAGCTTTGCGGCACTCGCGCGCACATTGGGTATTTGACTGGGACTTATCCTCTAGAGACCCGCACGCAAGACCCACGCGTTGCGGCTGTGTAATACGCAAAAGGAAGTACGTAATTGAAACAGACTGTAATCTGATATGTAAATAATAATCGAAAGGTGCATTCAAAGATCATCAAGTAGCGGGAAACCGAGCGGGTCCGAAGCGAGCGCGCCTGCATTAGTGGTTAACTAGTCGATAGAAAGTACGCAGTAGTCGATAGAAAGCATTGCAGAATATATTAGAAGTTGAATCATGCAGATGAATTAATACCCACTGATTCTGCGCTCCGATTCCTGTCAATTTCGAACTCATCGCCACACTCTTTGTCTTCTGATGACGTAGCTGAACAAGCTGTTTTGCAAGTACAGCACATGCGTCTTTCTGGCCTTGTTTTGCTAGCTTCTTGATCTCTGCCTCCTGAAGAAATGTGAAATAAAGTGGTCATAAAGTAGCGAGAAGAGGACTCGAACCAGTTCTTTCTCTCTTCGTTCAAGAGCGCGGCGATCAGTCTCGAGTTCTCGATTAGCTCGTCGGATATTCTTGGTGTTTTCGCGTGCCTGTGCTGAAAAAAGGAGTTAATGATCGTGAGGTGCAACGAGGTGCTTCTCTGAATTATCTACGGATGTTAAATGCAGACTAACCTTTGGGATCGGGTTTGCTGAACCATCCGCTCATTGTTGGCAAACAGTGATATACAACGGGCTAAAACAGCACAAATTACAAAAATTGCAAATCGCAGTTGAGCGTAAATGAGAGAAAATCAGTTTTTCAGCAAACAGGAAAGAATTGCGAAATCTGATGACGAAAAAGAGGGAAAACCCCAGAGCATTTATGGAGGCCATGATTAGCAGCAGCGATGAGTCACTGCTATGACGTCAATCCACTCGAACGTAAGATCTCTGCCTTGCTCGCTAACAACAACTGTTGACCTTGAAGGAACAAGCCGACCATGAGAACCCGCTTTTGGAACGCCCTCCAGCAGAACTTTCGGGAGCATTTAATGTGTAAATCAATAATCAATGTCGATAAAATTCCACTGTGAAATTATTACGGACCTTATTAGCTGTGTAGAGTCGATTGTAGTATATTTGAAGAATTTGAAGAATGATTTTTTGAAGAATGACCAATTTTTTTCTTTTTTCGGCTTAACACTAGATTGGTTTTTAGAGAAAAAAGGAAGAGGATCATTATTTTATTCTAAGTGAATCCGGTATGAGCTGGGATTCTTACATTCCAAGAGGTGAAACTGAGGTGAAATTGCTTCTCTTAATGCTCGTACAGCGCTGCTAGTGGATCACATACATATCTACGTTTGTAATCAAATGCATTTTTGATTTATTACAACAGCTGACGATATATGTTTCCAACTGTCCTAGTAACGCTTACTTTTTAGTGCATGTCCATCGCCGCGCTTCGCCATGGTCACGCCCCCAATTTCGTTGCTTTTCGCATTTTTTTTTCAGGGAAGTATCATTCCTTTATCTCAGTGATCATTGAATAATTTGGTCATTCTGCTATGGGAGCCGATGGCGGAACTATTCCAAAGCGATGTGAATTGGTGAAAAAGAAGAAGAAGGCTGAGAAACTTGATAGAAGCGTGAAAAATGCTTCGAAATGGAGGAATTGCCAGTTGTCACAGCAGCCGTTGAAGGTAATTCTTTTTTTTTACTCGAGTGTATTTTTTGTTAAGGAACTCACAAGAATATATAGTTTTTAGTTGTCTTTGTTTGCTAATCATCAGTTAGATAGCAGAATTTTCTCTGTGTTACCTTGCGAAACTCTAAAATTTTGTAGAAACCAATCATCGCTTGCCGATATGGTCGTTTGTACAATAAAGAAACCGTCATAGAAGCGATACTCACTAAAACTATCCAGAACTATGAGGCTGCTGCACATATCAAGGGATTGAAAGTGAGTTCCATCGGCTTTTTTTTTGCTTTCATATCACCGAAAACCTACTTCTAAATCGGTTTGTCATGTTTTCTTCATATCTTATTAGACTGTTCCAACTGGTGGTCATGGAGGCGATCCTTTATTAGTTAGCAGCTTCTATAATCTCTCTTAGGGATCGTTCAAACCGCGCACGAAGCGCACAAAGGCGCACGAAGGCGCAAACTGCCAAAGCGCAGGGATTTGCCGGCAAAGTGCCATATTGGAATACGGTGAAACAGCGCGTGTTGTATCTCACGCGTATTCCAATATGGCACTTTGCCGGCAAATCCCTGCGCTTTCGCAGTTCCGGCGCCTTCGTGCGCCTTTGTGCGCCTTTGTGCGCCTTCGTGCGCCTTTGTGCGCGGTCTGAACATCCCTTATACAGCGATAGGTAACATCATATAATTGCCAATATTAGGGTAGACTTTCCGCATGCGTTCGATTCTGCCAGTCTGTGTATGGATAGTAGGTTGGTGCAAAAGTAGTGCGCTTTTTTCTAGCCCTTCTTTCAGGACAAACTGCTTCCGTTAAACTTTCCTTCTTTGGAAATGAAACTTAGCACACCATCAAGAAGCTCTTTTCATGCTCTATTCAAAGTTATTTGGAACTGACTTCTAGCTTCATTGGTTAAAAATTTATAGAGCTTCACACAACCGCTCTTGAAACCAGAATTTCGTTGCACTTACTTTTCTGACCTGATTTCAAGCGCGATAAAGGCATGCTTTCGGAAATTCAGCTGCTGTATGTAGTAGGAATCGTCGACATTATGCACACTTTGTTGTTTTCCCAGAAGTTACACACATTGAAATTTCGGCGGTCAACATGGGTAGTCGTTTTGGTCATTCTGTGGTCCATAAATTCCATTTGAGGATGGCAATCGTCACATTGCTCATTTCTGTAAGCGAAAGAGTGGGCCTCTTATTGGCAGTTTTTGCAGAAATGTCTGGCTGTTCAGTACGCAGAAAAACAAAAAATTTCTTATTTTGAGACTTTGAGGCCTACGAAAAAATGTTGAGAAAAGCGGACAATTTTGGATTTTAATTTTTTCCTTTCTGCAAACTTTCTTCGTTTGAGCCCTTTTCAACTTTTTTTGTACTATTGGCTTGTGGATACAAGATAAGTCACTTATCATCTATACCAACAAATTTTGAAGGAAGTTATGATCAGTGAAAAACGAGGCTTTAGAAGATTTCTTTACTTACCATTTCATATACTGCCCTTTTGAGATATGAGTATAGATGGATGGCGTTGTATTGCGAAAGGTTTGCTGCCTCTGATGGTCTTTATTGCATTGAAAAATGTAGATTTTCTAAAAAGTTATAGCGTGTCAATATGAAATCTTATAAAACGCGCACTACTTCTGCACCAACCTGATAGAACAAGCAGAATAAGCAATCTGGTAGATTTATGTGTCAAAGCTTATTTCTTCAGCATTAGTTTCCTACATGTTTAGCGCCACTCGCCATAGTGAATTAACAGTCGTCAAATCAATGCTTTTTATGGATAAACTGAATTAGTGCAATACGAGACGTTTAGAACCCTTATTCAGGATTTCAAAGAGCTGAAACTGAGAGAGAATAAGGACTTCAAGAAAGACGAAGTAAAAGGAGACGAATACTTGGACAGCAACCAGGTTCATATAAACTACAGTTAATATCCATTTTTGTACTAAGAACCAAGTTTCAGTCCGAGTTCCTCTGCCCAGTAACCTCGCTACCAATGAATGGCATCAATAAGTTCATTGTAAACTGGAAGTGTGGCTGCGTATTTTCGGAAAGAGCAGTACAAGAGGTTAGTTAACCGTACCCTTGGTAATCTTCCTCTTTCGAATTAGCCAATTCTAGGTGAAATCAAATGTGTGCTATGGATGCTCTGGTCCCTGGGATCCGAAAGATTCGGTGGTCTTGTATCCAGATGAAGAGCTTCTAGAGGAATACAAACAGAAGCTAGCAGCTGAACGTGCAGAGAAAAAGAACAAGAAAAAGAACGGAGAGAATGGTGTAGAGAAGGTTAACGGAGAAAGCGCTGAGAAGACTGTTGTCAATGGTGAGCATAAGAAGGAGGAACACGGACACAAGAAGGACGCTCATAAGCATCTAACAAATAGCGGTGAATAGGATTCTTTCTTTGCAAGTGTTATCGATGTTTTTGCTTTGTTATATTCTTTAACGCAGGAATTCACGTACTTGTGAAATGATGTGATTTTAGGCTCGTCATCCTCGAATGATGATGTTTCTGTTTCAGACAAGGATAAACTCAAAAAAGCAGAAAAGCGGAAACTTGAAAGCGATATTCAGTCTGATCCCACAAAGTCAGAGGCTTATAAAAAATTGTTTACAACTTGTGAAGAGGCGAAGAACAAGCCCGCGCAACATTGGATTACCTACAACCCATTGTATTATTAGAGTTTTTCTATCTTCTCCGATTATCATGGTCAGTACGAATTGCTCAGCGTCGCTGTAAAGAATTTGGATCATATAACAGATTGAGTCTTCAAGATTTTCATGCACAAATTTGGACTGTTTTTTGGTGGTTGAGAGATCTCCTTATCTGTGTTCTGTATAGTTCATTCTAACCTTTGGTTGATTCGTTGTATTCGTAAAAGTGCAGAGTTTACCTCCGTTTCCATTCTGAACCAGCTGTTCACACTCGCTGTGTTTTTTTTACACTGATGATTTATTCTATTGCTTACATGGAACATAGTAACTTTCAGTGCCAGTTATATTTTTTATGGATGCTGAATAAATCCCTCAATGTTGTCCTGTTCTTCGACGAAAAAGTCAGCACTCCATATATCTTCCGCCCTTGCAAGAGGCAATGTTCTTTTCTGCAACATACATAGTAGGGTATGCTCTCCGTGCCGCGGATCGCGCTCCGCCGCGGCACCTATGCGATAGAAGCGGCTTGTCGTGCAGGAGTTTTCAGGGCGCAGCAGGTAGTATTTCCGCCTTCGCTGTATCCGCTTATAAGATTCGAAGCAGTGAAAATGAACACTTTTTCGGTTCCAGGTGAGGTGCATATCTGCAAAGGATGTTTTCGATTACGCTGCTCAAGTGAGTTGCTTTCGTTCCAGTTAACTTTCTCATTTATGTGGTTGTTGAAAACAGATTTTTCAATCTGTCATCTCTAATGATGAAAGTGAAAAATGAAAGTGATAAAGTCTGTTCTACAATGCTCTTATGTACCAAACGAAAGTGTTTCATGGCAAATTCAGGCAGCACCTGACATTCCTGCTATGCCAATACCACCACCACCTGCAAGATCCGTAGCAGAAATGGTTGAGGTACGAACTTGTATTTCAAGTGTTGAAATCACAGCTAACAAGAAAATGGTCAGGAATCGAAGTGGCAAATCCAAACAAGCTGCATATCATTAAATTCAGCATAAAACGCTGACTTCGGATATATATATATATATATATATTTCTGCTTAGCGCCTATGTGGGCGAAGTTATGAGCTGTTGCCGTCACTTTGCTAAGAAATTGTGCATGCAAAGCGCTAATTTGGCGGTGCAGAGCGCCATGTTCGGCTTCATGCTGGACCATAACAGCAGCTAGGCTACGTTATACTTAAAACTAAGAGGTGAGCTGAAAGTGCAACAATGTGCTCAGTTCTGCAATTTTTATGTACATTTTTTTGCAATAAACCGCTCATAACTTCGCTCACAAAGGCGCTAAGCAGTTATGGAATACAGATTCGAAATCAGCGTTTTGTTGCTCTAATGGTAGGCAGCTTGCTTGAATTGGCCACTTCGACTTCTGACCATTCCCTTGTAAGCTTGATGTACCAGATACGTATAAGCTTTCCCTCAACTATCTAGGCCGGAGAGTCGGTTCTTAGCGAATTAGGACTTATCTCATGGTGGAAGCCGTCGAGTTATTTTCGCATGGCGCTGGAAGCCATACATATGCATGCAGATATCCCATGGTGGGCCACTATAGTCTGTGGTGAGTGGTGATTTCTGAATCTCGACTTCATTTGCATCTTTTTATCCCTTAGCTTTTTATGTCTTTGGTGCATATTGCATATTTCTTTACATTGTAGTGACGTAACTCCGTTTGATTAGGTTTTTCAACCTGAAAAAAAAGTTTGCTACTCATGTCCAAATCTTTGCATAGTTTTAGACCTTGTGCTGTTAATAATTTCATTCTTGAGTTTCCTTTCTTAAATGCCCACGACGCAGGAAAATCATCTGTGCTTTGCAGCCACCGTTGCTCTTCGGCTTGCCTTGATCATCGTTCCCATCATGTCTCAACGACTGGTCGCTAAACAGAGTCAGTACAAGAAGGAACTGGATGAATTTCGAGCACGTCTGGAGGATGCTCGCAGGGAGGGAAATAATTTGCTGCGTGAGTTTTATTGTGCATACCGATTTGGCACTGACATGCTTTAGATAACCTGGACGCAAGTAGGGGTTAAAAGGTACTGAACGATTTTATCGAAGCGAAGATAATTTTTCAGAACAGCAAATTTTTTTGGAGCAAAGGGACTTTCTGAAGTCGAAAGACATACGTCTGGGACGGCAGTTCTTCATCCTTCTAGCAAACGGAGCTGTTTTTGCTACACAATTCTTCGCAATCCGACGGATGGTTGATGTGAGTTGTGAAGGATTTTGGAATCAGCCTGTAAATTTCTCGTTTGTTGATCTTTTGCTTCCATTTTCCTCATATTCGAAGCTCAGGTAACTGGGGAAGTTCGATGTTTCAGGTCAACTACCCTGGCCTTTCGACTGGAGGCACGGCGTGGTTTCCAGACTTGACCGTCACTGATCCTTACTATGCTCTACCTCTTATTAGTGCAGTAACGATGGGCCTAGTCACTCGAGTAAGTTTCTGTGAATGCGAAAACACTTGTCTTTGCACATTATCTCCTCTGAAGGTTGGCATAGAAATGGGCACTTCTGCTGACCAGATGACTCCAGGAATGCGGATAGGAATGCAATATGTTCTACCGATTATTATATTTGGTGTCAGCTCGCAATTTGCTACGGTGAGAGCGTTTATATCTCTTCTTTCCGGAAGCCCAGTTATCTTTTTCGTGCAGGGCTTGTGCGTTTACTGGTGTGCCTCCAATTTTATTTCACTTCTATATGCGGGTGCATTTCGAACACCTGCGATACGTAAATTGTTCAATATACCGCCATTGGTTATACAACCAAAATCCAAGAAGCCCAAAAACTCGTTCAAGGAGCTTATGGCTGGTTATAAAGGTAAGGCTCGCTCTTATAAACACATTTTGATATATGACAGCAACTCCATACGAGAATTTTTCCCCTATTTGACATTGGCTTCTTTTCACCTGGTTTATGTTTCAGCTAATAAGTCAATACCTCCAACATTTGCACAACTCAAAGAGCAAGATCTCCAACAATTCAAGAAAGCTGGTCGAGGCAAGCCGATAGTGAAGAGTTAGTTTGCTACCTGAGCAATCATCCTTTGTATAGCTAGGCTTAGATAGTGTGATTAGACTAGATGCTCAGAGCTACCTAATTTTTTTCTTGTTTTCTGTATTGTTCTTAATGACATGTTGTTGACAGCTGCACATAGTTTGACTGTACTCATTGATTGAAGTTCGACTTACTGATTATCTTGATATGTTCTGTTATGACGAAGTTGTTATGCGGCTGTATGAATAAATCTCCGCCAAAGTTTATTTGTAGCACGAATTTTGTTGTTCAAGCATCTCATATCAGAGAGAGATGATAGTCTTTGAACCCCAAATTTTGCTTGTAGTATTTGAGTAGGGTTGAAAGTGCTTAGTTATTCAGAATAATTCTTACAGAATAAGTATTTACCAGAGATTCTATTTAGGAATATATCTTGTTCCTGTAGTTCACTTCCTCTATACTGGGGTCACTTTATCCTATCTATAAATTTGGATTGATATCTACACAAAATTTGAATTTGATTATTTCACCCACACTTTTCGCTTGCTAATACACAAGCATTATAATCGAAGCACAGTAATGGTGCGCAAAAATCGTTGGCTGTGAAGACAAATTTTCCTCATCAATTTTTGTAGTAAGTATGAACTTAGGAAAAAAACGTTGATGGTGAAGATGAGAATTAAAAACATAAATGTAGTAAACGATATTTGATGCGCGGCATATACATAAATGTAAACCAGCCGCTTTATAGAAAAATACCGATGAACTCAAGAATGTCGTGAAAATTTCGAAAATTTGTGATCTATGAATTTATTTTTTAGATATGTCATTTGTGGCGTTAGATCCTCATCATTTTTGCGATGTCTCTCTTCATTGCTCATGTCTGAGTTGATTTATGCCTCTTATTTGCGGAATTACTTTCATATCTAAACGAACGCGTTTTGTATGTAGTTTGCACATCGAAGAAGTTCCAAAATTCCTTTTTTCTTGTGAAAATTTGTAGCTTTAGTTTCTATACATGATGACCTCGTAAGTGTCGCTACGCAGTTTCATTGCAGTGCGAAATTCACTACACATTTTGATTGAATACGTTGCCGTTACAGTGATGACAAATTGGGACCAATGGCAGCTTTGTTTTGGTGCACATGTTGCTTCGGATAAAGTTTATTTCTGAGTTTCAACGAATGTAGCTATCAGGCTGTTTCCGGACGGAATAAACTGCGTAAGAATTTGATAGAACCATGTTTGGCTAAAATTGATCTACGCCACCATAGATGTCCCCTAAGGAGTTTTCCTGTTTTGTAGTTGTCTGCAAAGATTGTCAAAATCTTAACTCATTGTCCCACACTTGTTTGCGGTATATCTGAATACAGTGGTTGAGGATGTCTATAAAGGCTTACAAAAATTCTTGCACATTTTCCACTTTTTATGATTGCCTGATATAAACAATCATTTGGTATCATAAATCACGGACAATAGTATAGTAATTGTCGCGAAAGCATGATGCTTAGGGGTTCAGCTTAGTTACAGAACATCGATCAAGGGAAATGCTCATGTCGAATTCACTCAGGAAAACACCTCATTTTCCATTTTTCGGCTCCGCTAATGAATTTATGTAGAGCACTTCCACATTACTAATTCTTATTGCCGCCAATGCTTTATACGTATAGCAAGGTTCTCTTAGTTTATCTTCTAATCGTATTTACTTTTTCCCTGGGTAATAATGGGACTTTATTTATTTTCTCTTTCTTCTCTGGGTAATGGGACTTTATCTATTTGTTTATTTATTTATTCAATACACACAAGGCGTGCCACATTTTGAACAAAGAAAACGAAAATACTCAGAGACTTGCAGTAGAATGTGCGTTTTAAACATTGTCATTATAGTAAAAGATTGTTTATTAATTTTTTTGAATCTCACAACAGAAACTCAGTATGGCTTCGAATGAAGTTTTGCTAGTACATCTGTACTTTTCAAACGTCGATATGGCTTCAAAGTTTTTTTGGTGAGCGGTGTATGTTTGCACTGCTTGCTATACTTTATTTATTCATGTGGAGGGGAACGAATCATGTATCTACGCTATCCGGGTTTTTTTTTTCGACTGTAGCATTCAAAACTGCGTTGGACTAGATTTTTGTGTATAGTTTTGTTCTAGAAAAAAGGTGGTTTTATTGCCATGACTTCTTTCCTTCTGTTTTCTCAGTTTTTTCTCAGCTACTTCAATGCATTCTTGTTCGCTGAACGATATGATTTTGTCTTCTTCTGTCCATTGTTTGCATCGTTTTTGCGATTTATGTCGGCTGTCGAAGCCATCGAATTCCCAGCAAATTGTTTTGCCATGGCATTAGCCGACGCTGTTAGCACGACGATGAATCATGGACAGGGCTCTTGGCGCCAACTACGGCGCAGCTCTTGACTCATCTGTATACTGAGTCTCGCTGGGTTTGCATGTATTTTTAGTTCCAGATAGACTGTCTTGTGCGTTTTGTGTAGTAAAAATTATTTATAACGCTTTGAGTGAAATGTAAAAATACAATCTTTGTTCATGGATTCGTCTGCATTCTTTTTTTCCTGATTCTGCGCTCTAGTAGTTTCCTTAGTTATCTTGTAAACTTTTTTTTACTAATGCCTCAATCCAAGCTCTTTGGACCGACAAGTCAGACTCATAATATCCCTTTGCACCTATTAATCGGTGAAACTTCTGTTTTTTCTTATTTCGTATTTTTGTGCTAACGGTGGATTTGCTTAGTACCAGTTCATTCTCGGAAAGATCATAGTTTTTGTGACGTCACATCGATTTTTCTGCATGAGAAATTTCCAGAAAAGTTACAGAAAAAGCAAAAGAAGAAAGGTCAGCGAGTTTTTTTTGATACATGAAATGAAGCAATGGATCTTAAAATCCAAAAATAGCAATATGATCTAAGTGAAGAAATTTCGTGCTAATTGTATGTTCTCAATAAGATCGCCGTGATCAAAATTACGTAGGGGATTTGTTTTTCGGTAATTTTTCGCGAAAATAAGATTTTCTTTGACTAACAAGTTCACAAAACTGATCTGACCCAATTATTTTTGGGAAGCTGACTACTATACCGGATTCCTAAATGCTTTATTTCCGCTTTTGCTTTATTTCTAAACAAAAATTGATGGGAAGCATCTCGAGGTCGCGAAAAAAAGTTTTATAACGACATAACATTAGTCATATATTAGTGAATCGCATAAATTATCGGTAACTAGCTGGCATACTCGGCTCCGCCGTATGTTCCGAATAGAAAATTCCATTTCTCAACCGATCCGAACCAAACTTGGCACACATACACTTCGGGCCCCGGCGGGTGTCACAGTCCACTTTTCGTTATCGATCGATGTCGATTTTATCGATTTTTTGCAAAATTTGAGCTAGGGGGCTGGAATTTGGCAGAGGGGTGTAATCGAGCATGCTGACACCCCCACGGGGGTGATCAGCATGCTCGATTACCCCCCTGTGCCAAATCCCAGCCCTGTAGCTCAAACTTTGCAAAAAAATCGATAAAATCGATAAAAGTAATGCACGATTCTAAAAACTAATGTTGTATTCGTAATCAGCATGCTCGATTACCCCCTGTGCCAACTCCCAGCCCCGTAGCTCAAATTTTGCAAAAAATCGATAAAATCGATATCGATCGATGACGAAAAGTAGCCTATGACACCCGCCGGGGCCCGAAGTGTATGTGTGCCAAGTTTGGTCCCGATCGGTTCAGAAATGGAATTTTCTATTCGGAACATACGTACACACAGACAGACAGACAGACAGACAGACATACAAACAGACATTCAACTTTGTATATAAGATTCAGAATTATGGAATAATTTATCGTTGGTACTAACGACATGCTAGCTTTTTTCCAGTTGGGATCTTCGAGAAAATAAGTAAACTTAGCATCCCTTCAAAGCAGCAGCTTTTCGATTTTTCTCACATCATTTGCAAATAATGAAGTTTGCCCTTGAAGGTTGTAGCTGTGTACAAGCTAGATTACAAGACTTGAACTTATTCTGCACTTTCTATTCTTACACATTGGTTGCAGGTTCCTAATTGGTGAAAGATAGTACAACTTAAATTTTCTAGCTCATGTCTCTCACCAAAGTTGATCCGCATAAAATTAACATTTATTTATTTATTTGTTTATTTATCTATTTATTTATTTATTACTCAAGCGTAATGTACCATATGTTCAAACAAAATTGTTACGTATTTAGATAAGATAGAATAATGAACATAGCATACAATGACTTCATTTCCATACCGTACACCTCTCGCGATTTTTCATTCAGCGCTATGTACTCCTTTATTTACTTTACTCCTTTTTTGGAATAAACTTTGGAATATTGAATTTTGTTTGAAATAATCCTCCTTACTTACTTTACTCCTTTTTTTGGAATAAACTTTGCAATATTGAATTTTGTTTGGAGTAATCTTCCTTAGTTACTTTATTCTTTTTTGGGATAAATTCATCCATTTATTCTCTTTTTACTTTTTACCTAATTTTTTTTCGAAACTTCTAAGGAAATGCGAGATGTCATCGAGTGCAAGAAAAAATCTTTGGATGCGACAATTGCGTCTTGAGCGGAGATCTGGAGATGAACGATCGGCTAGTAGATAAGACTTCCCCCTATTCTTGGTCAATATCTGCGCGACTTTAGCCTTTCTGGGATTTTTTTATCCGCCCAAAAAAAATTTCGCAAACCCTGCTTGCATCCTCCCTATGTATACGATCCTCCCTCATTGCTCTCAATTTTTACTCACCTCTCGATCGAAGAGGAGTTTTGTAATGGCCTTGACAGTCCGTCCGACTAGCGCTCGATCGTAAGAAATTATGCCAAGCCATCAATCCATCCCTCTAATTATTGCCATCTTTGCGCTGACAATGACCTCTTCGATATGTGTGTTCTTACACCATGAGCATAGCAATTGACGTGCGTTACCGGATATATTAGCGGTTGTAATGAGGCTGAGGTCGTTTCGATTGAATTTATCGGCTCGCACAAATAAATAAGTAAACGGTCGGACTAAATCTTATTGGTGAGAGCATGACGTTGGATTGGCTACAGTTTTGTAGATGACCAGCACGAGTTCTGAGACCATTTTATGAATTCTAGATCGCTTATAAATTTTCTAGACCTTTTCGATCAAATTCAAATGTTATATTTGACGTCGCTGCATCCGAAGCGAAAAAATTGGTGCATTTTCATTTTCGTGCTTTGCAAAATATTCCATGAACAACAGAAGAATTTTTTTGCTTCTGCGATTACTCTTTGAGCATAAACTTTATGATTCATATACAATGTAGTAATGGTAGTCCGACAAATTTTTTTGAGGGGGGGAGGGAAGGGGGGAGAACCGCGACAGAGATTTTTTTCAGATGAAGCTTTGTGGCGTTAGCTACGTTCTTCGAGAAATTTTCTAAAATGCCTTCCAATTTTTTGCTGGCCCATAATTCAAGAATCCAGAGGAAAGGGAGCGTCACAT